CCCAATTCCAGCAACGATTCCTTATATGTTTTAGCCTCCAGTCCCCTAATCATCTTTGTTGCTCTTCTCTGTATTCTTTCTAGAGTCTCAACATCTTTTTTACATCGTAGTGACCAAAACTGAATGCAGTATTCCAAGTGTGGCTTTACCTTCATTAGATCCTTCTCCAAAAAACTAGGCCCCCAAATCCAAACTTTTTTGTAATGCCTATCATTCCAGATTTATCAGTTCTTCCAACTTCTAATCACTTGTTTGAAAAACTATGCTTTTTAAAAAATTCCCGTCAAGCACCTCTTGACATTTCAGGATATTAAATTGCAGCAACTGCAATGAATGGTCATGTCTACAAAATGATACAAATGAAGACATAAAGAGTTTGTGGTAATCGAAAACTGGTAAGCTGCAGTGTAGATTATGTAAATTGAGGAGCATTCAGAAAAGATTTGCAGTGTTGCATAATTTGTTTCATGTGTGTAAAGTTTGCATCTGAGCCAGATGATTAAAACAAAGTGGAGTTCTTGATGTCTCCTGAGTTTGGTTGTTCTTTTGCAGACATTTCATTAGCAGACTAGGTAACATCTTCAATGATGAGACTGAAGGAGTCCGCAATTCAATGAGCTACATACAGTATATGCACTTCTATTAAAACACTTATTCATTTCCTTATACAAACAATTAATACAAAAACTCTAAAGGGGTTAGCTTACATTAGAGTTTTCTGAATCCCTTTGGTAGGATTTGTGTGCCATGATTTTGTACCCTAATTATGGTGATCAATGTAGTGGTAAAAAACAATCATCTACATATCTTGTTGATTTTGGAAGAAGGCAGGAATATATTTGTAATCCATCAAGAAAGTTAGTACAGTAACTTTTTCTTAATCATTATAAGGAGGAAAGTAAATCTTAGCAGATGGATAAAATTATGGGTTTAGCCATTTGTCAAATCTGGTTTGCACTATTTGAAAAACTAAGAGATATACTGCTTTACAAGGACTACTCACCCCATCCCTCACATTGCCTGCAGAACCTGGTCTATAAGAATAGAGTACAGTGATAGCCAGCCTCCTGCTGACTCAAGGACAAGATGACAGGTAGGCAAGTCTGTGATCTTATTTTTGTCTCGGGCCAGTGGCAGAATGATCTGACATTAGGGGAAATAGTTATCGAGCCCTTGTCATGGTCAGACCATTCTCTCCTAAGGATGGACTTCCAGACCGCGCCCCCCCGCCGCAGGGAGACGGAACCGCCTAGATGGTTCCGTCCCAGGCGACTGATGGACCCAGAGAGGTTCCTGACGGAGCTT